TGGCCATGACGCTCATCTCGTCCAATCGGCAGTCGCGGAGCGTGACGCACTCGACGCCGGCAGCGATCCATTGGCCAAGATACTGCGCAAATTCCAGATAAGAATCGGCATACCTACGCCAGTTATTTCGCTGAAGAAACGGCGCTTTACTAAAGGGAGGCCGTTCGTCGCGCTGAGATTTGACTGGGTGGCACTAAACTTGTTCGTGGGTTGGAACTGGGCGACCGTCGTTTCCAGCCCAATTGAGCACGTCGAGCTCTTCGGCTCGGTGGCGCGGGATCGACCGTCATCATTTGTCATGGCACAAGCATACTAGTAGTACTAGTAGTGAGCAACGCCCACATGCAAGACGCCGATCACGGCGGGCACGCTGTACACCCGTTCAATGAGAATTTGTGTGACATGCCCAGGAGATGCGACAGCAGCGCGGTTGCCAACATCAATTCGAGGCATGCTCGGCGTCGAGCACGAAGCGCCGAGATCCATTGATCACGTTGGTCCTACAAGGTTAGAACTATCTTTGATTCGAAACAACACAAGATCGTGCATTCAACGCGTTTGTGATCATCTCGAGTGATGCGTCTTACGGGCTGTAAACGTGTACCTCATGATTGTCAATATAGTCTCCGAGTCGTAGCTGCAGCGTTGACGCAAAATAGGCAACTTCCTTGCACTTGTAGCGGGCGTCGACGACCTCGAGAGAGACACCACAGCACGTGGTGAGCGCCTCCAAAAGCACGTCAAACGAGTCCACCTCGCTGTTGAAGAACGAAAGCACAAAGGGCGACAACCGATGTGAGTCAGCGAGCGCTGTCGCAAGAGCACTAACGCCACTGTCGGTGACGTCGCAGTAGTCGAGAGCGATGCAGTCAAAAGGCTTTGCACAACGCTGTCAGCATCGTTGAGCTCGAGGCTCGTGAGCGATGCGGTGGCGGCGATGGCCCGCGCCAGCCGAGTGTCGTCGGCCGATTCGAAAAACTTGAGCCCGAGGTGCTGTGCAATGCCCAAGGCGAGCCACGCCTCCAGGACCGGGAGCCAGCTTTCACTCAAGAACGCGAATTCGTCCATCCCGATGAGGTCCAGTCGCGTGACATACTGCATCCCGCTGGCGACTGCGTCGATGAAGGCAGGATCCGGCTCCTCGACTTTCACATGCATGTGGTCGAGACCCGTGCAGAGACTCAGAAGTTTAGCGAGCTCAGCGTTGGTGTGGCAGTTCAGCACCGTTGGTATGTAGATCGACGTGATCTTGTGACCCCACTTGGCAGCCAGTGCCATCGTCGGGTTGAACGAAGAAGCATCGGTGTCAGGGTTGGCAGCTCGCAAATTGGCGTCGAGTCTGTCGCAATGCTCAATACGAATCGAGCGAAAGACTGGTAGCGCGGCGAGAACGGTCGATGTGTATTGGCGGTCAACGTGTTCAATGCAGATTTGCGGCCAGAGGCAGTCGTCCACACCATGGGACGTTGTCGTGAAGAGCGTTCGGAGCGCTGTCAATGGCGCATCCAGATTAGCAGGTGGCAGTGCGTGGAGGAGCGATGCGACGTCTTTGGACGACGACAAGCACTGAGCAATCGAGGCGAGGACTGCGGGGTGGGCGGCATCGATCGGTGCCACGCAAGGTCGCTTGCGCAGCATGGCTTGTTGTGGAAATAGAGATGTATTTTTGCATTCAGATTGGTTGCCATTTGTAACGGACGCGATTTTGATTGGAAACACGTGGCAGACCTGCAGGTGTTTAAATCCTTGATCGATTTGGTTGTGAAATCGCTCCGACACACAAGTATTCTTTGGGCCTTTATCGATGCCCACGACACACCACGACGCACAATAGAGTTCTTTTCTATCGTAGCATTATTTATCGTCGTAGTACTTGGCCGTCAACGACGTTCAGCCAACATACAATTTAGTGTCCCTAGACAAAGCGTGAAGAAATAACGCGATGAACGGCCTCCGTTTAGTTATCAAGCCAAAAGCAGAGAACTAATCACGTAATGAGCCCCCTAACAAGCAAATATTTGGGACGATACGCTTGAGCTCAATCGATGCATATTAGAGGCTATGGATGGCC